CCCCATCTGGATGCAGCACCCACGGGGTTGGGGGGGTGGGGGGGGTGTCCTGGGGCAGCCTGAGGAGGCAGAGCTGGTGGGGAAACCTGGTCCAGTGCTCCCCCCTCCCCAACCCTCCTGGGTGGGTTTCCTGGGAGGAGCGGGTCTGGGGGCTGAGTGAGCAATCCCGAGAGGAAAAGCCAGGGATCCAGGGCTCTGGGATAGCCTGTCGTGGTGTGACCTCCTTGGGGTGCCCGGGGGGCTGGGCCCTTGGGGGTGTCATGTTGGTGTTCCTGGCTGGAGGAGCTCAGGACCCCCAGGGAGCATCCCCAGCCCAGGTGCCATCCCAGCCCAGGCCAGTTTCCTGGTGGGGTCAGTTCCCCCCTTGCTCCGTGGGGGCTGGAGCAGGAGCTGGGAAGGCAGGAGAGTTGGGAACGTCCCAAATCCCAGCAGTGAGATCACCCGGGAGCAGCCCTGCCCCAAAGGGCCCCAGGAATTCCAGCCACGGCCACCCCTGTAGCCCCTGGCTCCTGCCCAGGAAAATCCTCCTCTTTGGAATGATTCTGGGAGCTGGTGAGGGGGAACCTGCTGCAGGCAGGGCTGGGTGCCAGGGTGGCCTTTGCTTCTCACCCTGTGTCGTGCCAATGGGGTGGCTCTGAGGTGGCCCCAGCATAGAAATCATCAGATCCCAGCCTGGTTTGGGTTGGAGGGCCCTTAAAGATCAGCCAGTTCCATCCCCTGCATGGGCAGGGACACCTCCCAGCAGCCCAGGCTGCTCCAAGCCCCATCCAACCTGCCCTTCAACACCCCCAGGGATGGGGCAGCCACAGCTTCCCTGGCCAACCTGGCCCAGGCTCTCCCCACACTCACAGCCAAGAATTTCTTCCCAGGATCTCATCTTCATCTCCCTCTTCCAGTTTTCATCCCTCCCCCTCATCCCATCCCTCCCTGCCCTTGGCCCAAGTCCCTCCCCAGCTTTCCTGGAGCCCCTTCAGGCACTGGAAGCTGCTCTCAGGTCTCCCTGGAGCCTTCTCCTCTCCAGGCTCAACACCCCAACTCTCCCAGCCTGGCTCCAGAGCTGCTCCAGCCCTGACCCTGCACTTGGCCTTGTTGTACTTCATGAGGTTGGCACTGGCCCACCCAGCCTGCCCAGGTCCCTCTGGATGGATCCCTTCTCTCTAGTGTGTCAACCTCACCACATAGCTTGGTGTCACCACCAAACTCCCTGAGGAGACACTCAATCCCACTGTCCATGCCCCCAGCACAGATGTTGAACAGCACTGGCCCCAGTCCCGACCCTTGAGGAGCACCACTCATCACTTGCCTCCACTGGGACACTGAACCACTGACCACAGCTCTCTGGGTGGGCCATCCAGCCAATTCCTGATCCACTGAGTGTCTGGGACATGTTGTCTTCCTGTGGTGTTTGTCCTTTCCCCATGATCCAGCAGAAGCCAGGGCTGCCAGCAGCTCAGTGCTGGGCTCTGCCTTCCCCTCCTTGGTCTCCTGGTGGTCTCTGGAGTCAGAAAAGATCAGGAAGCAGGGGCTGCTCATCCCTCCTGGAGCAGGAGCAAAGTCCAAGGAAAGAGCAACATTTTGGGACAGAGAGCTGGACCAGCCTCCTCAGGTTTAGGTGGCCCTGATGAGACCATCTTCTCCCCCTGAGGAATGGGAGCTGGTCACTGCTCCACGCAGCCTCGTCCTGATGGAAGCTGCAGGAGGACCTGGACAGGCTGGGTTGATGGGCCAAGGCCAATGGGATGAAATTCAACAGGACCAAGTGCAGGGTCCTGCACTTTGGCCACAATCACCCCAGGCAGGGCTGCAGGCTGGGGAGGAGCTGGAGAGCAGCCCAGCACGGAGGGAACTGGGAGCACTGGTTGGCAACTGGTTGAACATGAGCCAGCAGTGTGCCCAGGTGGCCCTGAAGGCCCATGGCATCCTGGCTTGTGTCAGGAATGATGTGGCCAGTAGGATTTTCCCCGTGTGAGACCTCACCTTGAGTCCTGGGTGCAGCTCTGGGCCCCTCACTGCAAGAAGGACCTTGAGGTGCTGGGGCAGGTCCAGGGGAGACAACGAGGCTGGGGAAGGGACTGGAGGGAAAGTCTGATGAGGAGAGGCTGAGGGAGCTGGGTTTGATCAGCCTGGAGGAGACTCAGGGGGGACCTTCTCACTCTCTACAACCACCTGAAGGGAGGATGGGGTCAGGAGGGTCTTGGCTCTTCTCCCAGGAAACTAGAGACAGGAGGAGAGAGCCTGTCCTGAAGCTGCTCCAGGGGAGGTTTAGGTTGGATGTCAGGAAGCACTTCCTCATGGAAAGGGTGATCAGACACTGGGATGGACTGCCCAGGGAAGTGGTGGAGGCACCATCCCTGGAGGTGCTCCAGGAAAGGCTGGAGGTGGCACTTGGTTCCCTGGTCTGGAGATGTGGGGGTGTCAGGTCACAGGCTGGGCTTGATGATCTGAAAGGTCTTTTCCAGCCTTGGTGATTCTGTGATTCCCACTGAGACGGGACCACCAACCACCTTCTCCTGCTGCAAAGCATGATGCAGGTTCCAGCTGTGTTGGCAGGGGGGGCTGATGCTTCTGGAGGGGCCTGGGGGAGATGAGGGGTGGCCCTGGGCACTCCTGGGACACTTCCTCAGGGCTCCTGTGCAAAGCTGTTCCCATCCCCAGCTCTGAGGTGGGACGGGATGTGTGTGGGATGTTCCACCAGTGCTCCCAGGAGGAGGTTAAGCAGCTCATGTTCAGAGGCCACAAGGACTGAGGGTGTTGGAGACCTCTGTGCTCGGGGTGGGGGACATTGCTTTGGTCCCTCTTGCCCTTCAAGCTAGGGAGGAGGGGGCCCAGATGTTCCCCAGCCCATCCAACCCCCTCCCTGCCTCCCTGTTGTGCTGCAGAGTGAGGAGGGTGTTGTGGCCTTGGGGGGCTGCCCAAGGTCCACGTCGGGTTCTCCTTCCCTCCCTCTCACAAACCAGTTTCCTAAGGATTTCCCATCCCAATTGGTTTTTCTTTCCCCTGGCTCCAAGGGTGCTGCTCGTGCCTCAGTTTCCCCTGGCTGTAACCAGGGCTGTCCCCTGGCTCTTGCAGACATCTCTGCCCTCCTGTCCCCGGGCCCTGGAGCTGCTGGTGGCAGCAGGAGCACAGCACGGAGGGACAGGGGACATGGCAGTTGAACTGGGGGAAGTGGCAACTTCCCCTTCATGAATCACCCAGCCCAGACCAAAGTGACAAGTCCTGGGAAGCGTTAACGATCCTGGCTCATCACTGCCTGGTGGTTTTCTACTGGTTTGTCCAGGGTAGCCCAGACTGTCATGGTCCTCCCAGACCTCTGTGTAGCACCCAGTGGCTCCAGGAATGTGTGGAGGAGCCTCCAGGCACCCTAAGAGCTGGAACCCATGGAGTCATGGAGCAACATCCATGGAGGATGGTGGCTGCTGAGCCTTGAAGGGCAGTATATGTGTCTGGTTGCAAAACGTGTGCTGGAGCCCAGAACCCCCCCGTGTCCTGGGCTGTCACCAGCAGCGTGAGCAGCAGGGCCAGGGAGGGGATTGTCCCCTCTGCTCTGCTCTGCTGAGACCCCCTGCAGGGCTGGGAACAGCTCTGGGGTCCCCAACACAGGGAGGACATGGAGCTGTTGGAGAGAGTCCAGAGGAGGCCCCGGAGATGCTGGGAGGGCTGGAGCAGCTCTGGAGCCAGGCTGGGAGAGTTGGGGTGTTGAGCCTGGAGAGGAGAAGGCTCCAGGGAGACCTTAGAGCAGCTTCCAGGGCCTGAAGGGGCTCCAGGAAAGCTGGGGAGGGACTTGGGCCAAGGGCAGGGAGGGATGGGATGAGGGGGATGGATGAAAAGTGGGAGAGGGAGCTGGAGGTTGGAGCTGAGGAGGGAATTGTGGAGTGTGAGGGTGGTGAGAGCCTGGGCCAGGTTGGCCAGGGAAGCTGTGGCTGCCCCATCCCTGGGGGTGTTGAAGGGCAGGTTGGATGGGGCTTGGAGCAGCCTGGGCTGCTGGGAGGTGTCCCTGCCTGTGCAGGGGGTGGGACTGAATGAGCTTGAAGGTCCCTCCAACCCAAACCAGTTTGAGTTGTGATGAACCTCAATCCTGTAGCCCGCCTTGCAGCCCCAGTGACGAGGACAGTGCTGAGGTATCTTGGACCCAGTTGTCCCTTTGATGTTGCTGCTCTGGTTTCTCCCCATTGCAGTGGTCACTGGATGGTTTGATCTCAGCCTTGCTGTTGTCTGACCCTGGTGGGGAGAAGTGTCCCCCAACCTTGGTCCCACAGGGGTGGGCACAGTGAAGCAGCACCTGGAAAAGGAACCGAATCCACTGTGGGGGAATGAAAAAAAAATATATATATGAAAAAAATCAAGGCCTGTTGAGTCATAAACTCAACAAACTTGACAGGGGAGCCAAGTGATAAAGCCTCCTCAGAGCCTGTTGCACCAGATTTTACAGGAACCGGCCAGATCTGGGACAGGCAAAAATGCACTTGACTCACCCACACCCAGGGACTTCCCAGCTCACCAGCTGGACCAGTAGGAGGAGGAAGATGGTTCCTTTCAGACCACATCTTAAGTCCTCTGGGGTGCCCTCAAGGTTGGAGCTTGGGCTGGAAATAGGAGACCCAGTTGTGCTTGGCCTCTCTGTCCCCCCACAGGTCCTGGCTCTGTTTTCCCACCTGTTTTGGTTGGTGCATCCATCCCCTTCCTGTCCCCAGTGCTGGGAAGGAAACAACCAGCAACTTCCAGTTGACAGCAAGAATTTTCGGGGGGGTGTTTGCAGGTGCCACAGGGATGAGTGGAGGTGATCGGTCCCAGTGCATCTTCGTGATCACAGCCCCTCATCCCTGGATGAAACAGGGCTGGGCTCTGGGGCCTGGGGAGATGCTGTGGGTCTGCTGGGGTGGTGGGCACTGCAGGACACCGAGGGCTTCACTGGGGGGGGGGGCTGACATTGTGCTTGTCCCCCCTCTCCAGTTGTGCTCATCGGGGACTCTGGGGTGGGGAAGAGCAACCTGCTGTCGCGTTTCACCCGCAACGAGTTCAACCTGGAGAGCAAGAGCACCATCGGGGTGGAGTTTGCCACCAGGAGCATCCAGGTGGACAACAAGACGGTGAAGGCTCAGATCTGGGACACGGCCGGGCAGGAGCGGTACCGCGCCATCACCTCCGCGTCAGTCCCCCTGCTGCCCACCTCCCCATCCCCCGGCCCTCCCCGGGGTTGTGTCCCTGCTCTGAGCCCTCGTTGTGCCCCCCCAGGTACTACCGGGGGGCGGTGGGAGCTCTGCTGGTCTACGACATCGCCAAGTACCTGACGTACGAGAACGCGGAGCGGTGGCTGAAGGAGCTGCAGGACCACGCGGACGCCAACATCGTCATCATGCTGGTGGGCAACAAGAGCGACCTGAGGCACCTGAGGGCTGTGCCCACCGATGAGGCCAGGAGCTTTGCAGGTATCTGCCCCCCCTCCTGCCCTGGTCCCACCCCATCCCGAGGTGGTTGTAGCTCATGGGAACCGCCTGAGCTCGCCCTGTTCTTGCAGAGAAGAACGGGTTGTCTTTCCTGGAGACCTCTGCTCTGGACTCCACCAACGTGGAGATGGCTTTCCACAATATCCTCTCAGGTAAAGGGCAACCGGGAAAGGTGGGAAGGGGGACAGAGATGGTTCCAGACATTGTGTCCTCCCAGGAACTCCCCTGACGACCCTGGCTGTATGTTCTGGGTGGGTTGTGCTGACCTGGATGGGGAGATGTGGGAATTTGCACCACTTGGGCTGTGTGTTTTGGGAGGGGGCAGGTCCTCCCCTGACATGGGTGTATTTCATAGGAGAGGGCTGGAGCAGCTCTGGAGCCAGGCTGGGAGAGTTGGGGTGTTGAGCCTGGAGAGGAGAAGGCTCCAGGGAGACCTTAGAGCAGCTTCCAGGGCCTGAAGGGGCTCCAGGAAAGCTGGGGAGGGACTTGGGCCAAGGGCAGGGAGGGATGGGATGAGGGGGATGGAGGAAAAGTGGGAGAGGGAGCTGGAGGTTGGAGCTGAGGAGGGAATTGTGGAGTGTGAGGGTGGGGAGAGCCTGGCCCAGGTTGGCCAGGGAAGCTGTGGCTGCCCCATCCCTGGGGGTGTTGAAGGGCAGGTTGGATGGGGCTTGGAGCAGCCTGGGCTGCTGGGAGGTGTCCCTGCCTGTGCAGGGGTGGGACTGGGTGATCTTTAAGGTTCCTTCCAACCCACCCCACCCCACGATGCTATGAGCTCACAGTGTCCCCCTCTGTCCTGCTCTCAGAGATCTATCACATCGTGTCCCAGCGACAGATCTCGGCACAACCCGACTCCGAGTTCGGCCCCAGCACGACCATCGAGCCCATCCGGGTGCTGCCCACCCAGCAGGAGGGCAGGCAGACCCCCTGCTGCCAGAACATCTGAGCCCCCGGGGGGTGCCCCCACCCTGACACCCACCCCCCCCTGCCACAAGCACCCGGGTCACCAGCACCCGGTGACATCGTGTTTCTCACCCTCTCCCTCCCCTCCTGCAGTGCCCGGAGCTGCGGGTACTGGTGGCTGCTCCCCTGGGCACCATCCTGCTGCCCTGGTGCTGCTCTCCCCGGGGCTATGTAGGAACTACACAAACTGGGAGGTGGGGAGGTGTGGGGGGGAAGCATCAGGGTCTCTCCCCGTGGTTTGGGACATGCCATCCCCTCCTGTCCCTGCTTCCTCCAGCCCTGAAGGCTCAGCCTCTGGGTGACTCAGGGTGGCACTGAACAAGCCCAAGCATCCTGGCTCCCTTGTTTGGTGCCACGTTCCTGCAGCACCCCTGGGTGCAGCTCTTGGGGTGGGGACACAGGCTGCACCCTTCTTTTGCCTGGTGAAGCGATCAGCACCCAGCTGGTTGCACCACTCCCACCCCAAGGGCTGGGTGTCCCTCTGGGTGCTGTGGGGACACCCTGGGCTGGGGGGTGACTCCTTTCTCCTGCCTGGAAGGACCTTGGTCTTCGTGCCGTGAGCCCCTTGGGGTCTGCAAAGGGAAGAGCTGCCCCATCCCTGGGGGGCTGGAGCAGGGACCTGGGGGTTGTGTCCTTTGGGGGAGCCCCAAGGAGGGGACAAATGGGGTCCCGGGGCTTTGGTGGGATGTGGGGGGCAGGAGGGGGGTGCTGAGGGTGGGCAGGGGGTCTCCCCACGCGCCTTCCTGGGTGGTGGCAGGATATGGGGCTCGATCCAGCCCCACTCGTGTTGTGCTGCTCGTGGCTGGGGACAGCCCTGGGGACGCTGCTGCCACTAGATGGAGCGTCTGCTGCCCCCACGGGGTGACAGTGGCCCCGTCCCCAGCCTGGGGACAGCGGGGACCCCCTAGGGCAGCCACCACCCCAGGCTGCTGGGACAGACTGGGCTGAGCCCAGTGCTGCTGCCCGGGGGGATGGCAGGTGTCCCGCAGTCCCTTCCCATTAACCCCAGTGCTGGGAGCGTGTCCCCCCATCCCAGAGTGGGGTTTTGGGGGGGGGGCGGGGGGTCCTCAGTCCCCATGGCTCTCCCACTCATCTGGCCCGGCAGGACCTGAACCAGGGTCTTGCCTTGGGGGACCATTTATCGATGAAACATGGATTTGGGCAAAAAAAAAAAATCCCCAAATAAAGCTGCTGCTGGAGGCTCCTTCTCTGCTGAGGTCTTTCCTGGAGCTGTGGCTGCCCCACACCTTGGGCAGGGGGCAGCATCCCTGGCCATGAAGAGCTGCTGAAGGGCACGAGATTCTGTGATTTTCTCCAGGGGTACCACCCCAGCACTGACCCCACCTTGGCTGGAGCCATCAGGGTGCAGAATGTTCCTGCACCACAAGCACATCCCTGAGCTGGCACATCCTGCCCAGGGCTGGTGGGTGTCCCCAGGTGAGTGACAGTCCCTGTCCCACCCTGCCCTGTGCCCACAGGGGCTGGCAGAGGCTCTGCTGTCTGCAGACACACCAGAGAGCTGCCAAGTGCCACCTCCTCCTGTGCCACCATCTGCCCACACTGCAACCAGTGCCAAGGGGTGATGGTGCCAAGAGGTGATGTCAGCCCCAGGAAAGGTGTTTTTTTGGGGGGAAGGAACCTGCCCCAGGCTCCACAAAGGGACAAGGGCTGAGCCAAGTGTCCCTCGGGGCTCACTGCCATCAGATGTGCCATCCAGCCTGGACCTGGCAGAGACACATGGAACGATGAGATCATTTAGGCTCATGGAGACACTTTCCAGGCTCAGCAACTCAGTTTTCTTCCAAGTTTTCTAGCAACCTGGGCTGGTGGGAGGTGTCCCTGCCCATGCCGGGGGGTTGGAATGAGATGATCTTTAAGATCCCTTCCAACCCAAACCATTTCATGATTCTATACAATTTCTGCTGGAAGGAAGTGGTGGGAAGGGTGAAGAAGGCACAGGTTTGCACCCAAGGCCCATGGACATGGTCCTTTGCTGCTGTCAGGACTGGGACCAGCAGCCGTGCAGGGGAGCTGATAGTTCTGCAAATTAAACACTTAATTAACCCTGAGAAGTGTTGCTAAAGGCCTGGAGCTCCATGAGAGACCCAGGAGGGGCAGCAGAAGGAGGTTCCAGCCCCACCACCCTGGAGCTCAGCCCAACTGGGACCCCATCCCCACCCACCACCCCTGAAGCTCCTCCTGGTGTGTGAGACCCAGAAACCCAAGAGCAGACACCGAGTTTCTTAAGTAATAATACTTTAATAAAATTAAGTTCTTAATGTAATTTAGCACATTTAATACATTAACCCTTTCCCTTCTTTGTTTTCTACAAGTTGTGCAACATCATTATTTTCATTTTTTATTTTATTTTAATTCTTTTTTTCCTTCTCCCCTTATACTATATGCCTCAAAACTCAAGACAACGAGCCTAACTCTACTTCTATGTTCGGTTACATCCCTCTCTCAGGCCTTTCTTTTTTGCTTAATGCCAGAGAGATGATAAAAAAAAAAAACACCTGGATGGACCACGTGATCGGTTTCCAATAGTAACAATTCCCAACTACAGGTTTCCTATGAGGTTAAAAAGAAAAAAAAAAAAAAAAAGAGCAAACACAACATAATAGGGAATGGACTTTCAACGGAAGGGCCACAAAGTCAGGGTGGTGACTCTGTGGCCAGCTGGCTCAGCATGAGGTGGGTCGTACCGTGGGGTGGGAATGGGTGGTAGCACCTGGATCTATGGGTAGGACCAGTTGGTAGCACCTGGATCCATGGGTAGGACCAGCAGATAGTACCTGGATCCATGGGTAAGGTGGTAGCACCTAGATCCAGGGGTAGGACCAGTTGGTAGCACCTGGATCCATGGGTAGGACCAGCTGGTAGCACCTGGATCCATGGGTAGGACCAGGTGGTAGCACCTGGGTCCATGGGAAAGCGGACACACACGAACTTGTACAGCGTTTCTGAGCGAGGACAAGAGAAAGCCAAGGTGGTTGAGCAAAAGCCATGAAGGGCTGGTGGGGGCTGAGCTCCAGGATCTGATGGTCCCTGGTGGCTCAGGTTTCCTTTTAGCTCCCATGTCAGCTGGGAAATCCCTTCGGAGCTGCTAAAGTCAGGGTGGTGACTCTGTGGCCAGCTGGCTCAGCATGAGGTGGGTCGTACCGTGGGGTGGGAATGGGTGGTAGCACCTGGATCTATGGGTAGGACCAGGTGGTAGCACCTGGATCCATGGGTAGGACCAGTTGGTAGCACCTGGATCTATGGGTAGGACCAGTTGGTAGCACCTGGATCCATGGGTAGGACCAGCAGATAGTACCTGGATCCATGGGTAAGGTGGTAGCACCTAGATCCAGGGGTAGGACCAGTTGGTAGCACCTGGATCCATGGGTAGGACCAGCTGGTAGCACCTGGATCCATGGGTAGGACCAGGTGGTAGCACCTGGGTCCATGGGTAGGACCAGGTGGTAGCACCTGGGTCCATGGGAAAGCGGACACACACGAACTTGTACAGCGTTTCTGAGCGAGGACAAGAGAAAGCCAAGGTGGTTGAGCAAAAGCCATGAAGGGCTGGTGGGGGCTGAGCTCCAGGATCTGATGGTCCCTGGTGGCTCAGGTTTCCTTTTAGCTCCCATGTCAGCTGGGAAATCCCTTCGGAGCTGCTTGGCCAGAACAGAGCCTGGATCTCCTTGAGGAGCCTGGATCTCTTTGAGGAGCCTGGATCTCCTTGACACCAAGCAGAGCTGGACCAAATCCTCCACATCCCCAAAGGCTCCTGACCAGGCAGCTGGATGCCCAGGGGCTGCTCTGGGCATCCCTGGGGATTTCCCTGGTTCCACTGGGGCTGGGATTGGAGTTGGCTCCACAGCATGAATGGGCTCAGCAGCAGCTGTGGCACCAACAGCCCTGCCAGCCCGGGCTGTGCCCAGCTCCTGGTGCCTCCTGCCACCACCCTTCATGTTTGCTCAACACTGCTTCTACCCCAGGAGCAAATCTTTTATCACAAAACTGGATCTGGCCCCTGATGTTGGTTTGTTGGTTTCTTGTTGGTTTGAGTTTTTTCCCCTCCCCCTTTTTTTTTATGATTATCTTGAACATAATACATAAGGAAAAAGGAAAAAAACCCAAACCAACAAGGAAGTGCTGATGGTTTCACAGACAAGCAAAGCAGCCCATGACCATGTCCCTCCCTGCCCCAGCTCCTGGGAGATGGGACATCTCCACAGCCACCAAGTGCTGCTCTTGCCTCGCTGCTCTGTTCCTCTAGGAGTTGTTTCCAGAGCATCATCACGAGATCAGAAGGCACGTTCTGCTCTCAGCTGCCTGCTGAGCTGCTGCCACTCTCAGGAGGTGACTTCATTGTTTCTTCCCCCTGCACAGACACCGGTGGAACAACTCCAGGTTTCCCGGGACTGTCACTTTCCTGGGGGTGACTTTCAATTTGCTCCATGAGCAGCCCTGGAGTGCTGCTGGAGTGGATCCAGAGGCAACGCTGCAGCTGCCAGGGCTGAAGCAACTTCAGATTCCAGCAGAGTAACCCCAGTGAAAGGGGAAAGTTCCACAGGAGCAAAGGCAGGAGCTGCTCCACCTCCTCCAGCTCCAGCCACCACAGAAAAACTGGAGCTGGCCCAGCCCAGTCCTGGCTGAATTGTCCACTGGGTCAACTGACAGCAGAACGTGACTTGGAGTTTCTACAGCATGTGAAAACCCACAATAAAACACAGAGGTTGCTCCCTAACATCCTAGGAAGGTTTTTGGAAGAACCAGCCTATCCTGGCTCTGCTCCTGCCAGTGCCAACAGCAAGGAAGCCTTGGCAGGATGGGACCCCACTATTAGTATACAAGTTACTATAAAGTGCATCCACTCTCCAGTCCAGGGCATCACTGTACAACCACTGACTCTTCTTCAAGTATCAAAACCAAATAAAATGAGGTAAAACAAAAAGGAACCTGGTGGGGAAGGACCAGGCGCTTGATTCCACCAAG